TGTTCTCTTGCTCCTTCTTTTTTTCCTTCCAGATTTCTACTTCTATTTATTCTCTCAGCCTGCCAGCCCTACCTATCCTTTCTCCTCGCTCTTTGTTGCTCAGCTCTTTATTAAACCAATCAGGTGTTTTAGACAGGCAAAGTAGCACAGCTTCACAGAGTTAAACAAATGCAACATAAAAGAATGCAGCACATCTTTGCATCATTAAACAAATGTTCTACAGCATAAACAAATGTAACACATCTAATATTCTACGACAGCTTCTGATGGAGAGAAGCATTTTTTTTTAAAGCACCACCAACTAGCCACATAATTTTCCTCTTTCTGCTGCCTCTAGGGGAGCATTACTGTTTGCCACGAAGCCGGCTCCTCCACCTCTCAGCAGCATTACCTTCTGGAGAAGAAGCAGTAGCTCACTAATGAATTGCCTCAAAGGTATTCCCATGGCTGCAGTTTGTTTATGTCACCAAAGTTGTTCCTTGGAGGTCTCACAGTGTTCCCTGGATACACAGCCAAGGCATTCACAAGAGGTGAGTTTAAGTAGGCTGGTGACTCCTGGAAATTCTTACAAGTCATTTTTATGTTGAATCCAGGAGCCGAAGAGCGACTCTGGTATAGACCGAGTTCACATCAGGAACATCAGCAGATGCACAGAAGGGCTGTGCTGAGCTCATCATTCTCAAAAGCAAAGCCTGGCAGGATCTTCCGAAGATACACGCAGCCGGGAAAGAAAACTGGATTGCTTTGACACATCTATCTCATCCACTCACTGCCTGCACCATGGGCTCACTGAAGCAGGAGCAGTTCTGACACACAGTGCTTGGGAGGGCAATTGGTTCTTAGTTTTCTAACCTGTTCACGACACCAAGCTCCCTCCTGCCATTAGGGGTTCCCCTGCCCACAGTCTTTGACCTTGGGGCGTTTCTATGAAACTGTTGTTATCTTCACCCAATGTCACTCAGGTGAAGATGGCAGATGTACTTTTGAAATTTACCTAGTTTATATTTTTAAAAAATGTGAATATTTATTTTTAATTTCAACTTTCAATTAATGATCAAAAGCAGTCTCATAGCTGGGCTGGAGAGATTATCCAGTGGTTAAGAACATAAACTGCTTTTCCAGAGGACCTGAGTTCAATTCCCAGCACCTACATCAGGGAGCTCAAAACTGCTTGTAACTCCAACTGCCAGGGGACCCAATACCTCTGGCCCTGGCAGAGACCTGTACTTACATGCACAAACACCCACACAAATACACACACACACACATCCCTGCTATAATGGACTGTAGACCCTCTCAAACTAGTTAATAAAGGAGTAGAGACTGCCTTGCTGGAGGTGAATAAACAGCACTAAAGAGGGCTGTTTTTCTGTTTTCTTACGAAAGTCTTGATTGTTTGGCAGCTTATCTCCAATCACTGCTTTCCAGTCAAGCCCGTGGGCTCCACCAGCAACATTTTTTTACAATCTCAACAAGACTTGTGTCCCATAAATTGATTTTACCATGGCATTCGAACTAAGCACTGATTTTTCCTGGGTCCTCTTTATGTCTGAGCCTCCTCAAAAAGGTACTGCCCTCTCCCCGAAGCTAATCCTGGTTGGAATGCCCTCACAGACCTCCCCAAGATGGGTGCTTTAGTCAACTCCGGATACAATCAAGATTTAAGTATTACACTGCATTATACTTTTTAATAACTGGGACATCAAAGCAATGTGAAGTGGACAAGTACATTTAAAGAAAGTAAAGATATGTCAACACTCCCACATGTGGTGATGTATTGTGTCCCCCAATATACTGGGTTCCCCAATAAAATTTATCTGAGGATCAGAGGAAAAAGCCAGCCACTATATTAAACACAGAAGTCAGGCAATGGTAGCACTTGCCTTTAATCTATCACTTGGGAAGCAGGGATCTGTCTGGACTCTGTGAGTTCAAGGCCACACTGGGAACAGAGCCAGGCATAGTAACATATGCTTTTAATCCCAGCACTAACCATAGAGGTCTGGAGGTCTGTACAGACAGACAGGAAGTGATGTAGCTGGACTGAGAGCCAATGAGTGATCAGAACAGGAAGGAATATAGGTGTGGATATACAGGAAGCAGGTCTCTTTTTTGGAGACTGAGGTGTCGGCGAGGTGAGGTTAGCTTGTGGCTTTTCCTATTTCCCTGATCTCTCAGGTTTCAACCCCGATATCTGGCTCCATGTTTTTTATTTAATAAGACCTTTTAGCAATTCATCTACACCCACAGGACAAAATAAGAACACACTGTATGTAGAGAGTGGCATTTCACGATGGGATCTGAGCTCTGAGAAAAATAATTATCATCCCTTGACATTTTGCCACATTGGGTGACGCTTCAGGACAAAGTCAACTACTGAGTGAATATCTCAGCAAGCGACACTACTAAGGAAGGAGTGGGACCTTGGTGGCTGTCACCATGCACAGGATAAATGCCTTCGGCAGTGTGAGATAGCAGTTGAAGATTATGTGTCCTGCAGCATCCACTGTCGATTATCGCCTAGGAACCTGCTTAATTCCTAGGTAGCTCATGATAATACTTACAAAAAATAAATAATTATTTATTTTATTTTAGGTGTATGCATGTTTTGCCTGCATTTATTTAAGTGCATCATGTGCATGCATTGCCAACAAAAGCCAGAAGAGAGCATTGGATTCCTTAAAAATGGAGTTAGAGAATGTTGAAAGGTTGAGAGTTGATAAGTGGGTGCTGGGAACTAAATCCCAGTGCTCTGCATTAGCAGTCAGTGCTCTTAACTGCTAAGTCATCTCTCTAGTCCTGTGAACTTGTGTTGTTGTTTTAAATAACCTGTAAAGGGGCTGGAGAGAGAGATCAGTGGTTAAGAGCACTGACTGCTCTTCCAGAGGACCCAGGGAATCCAACACACTGTTCTGGACTCCATGGGCACTGCACACATTTGGTGCACAACATACATACAGGCAAAACATCCACACACATAGAAAAAATAAATAGATAAATAAATAAGGGGAAAATCATTTGTAAGAATATAATCTTGAAATGGATCATAGCCACAGTGCATAACCTAAACTTTGGTGATGATTTAATACCATTAAAGTAATAATCTGTAATCTGTAACTTAATTTTTCTTATATAGAGATATTTCAGAAGAATAATAATTATTTTATGATGGAATTAAAATATGTTAGCAAGATGGTTCAGTGAGTGAAGGTACTTGCCACACAAGCCTGGCTACCTGGGTTCTAATTCTGGAACCCACATGAAGATGGAAAGAGAGAACCAATACCATACCTATCCTTCAACCTACACACACACACACACACACACACACACACACACACACACACACCATGACATATACACACATGCAATACTAACAAACAAAATTGTAAGTAATTACAGTGTTCATGATTTTTCACATACCATGAATGATAATTTAAAACCTCAGTGTTACATACCTATAGCTTGAACTATTCAGGGAGCTGAAGCAAAAGAGTTATGAGTTCAAGGCCAGCCTGTGCTAACTAAAGAAACCTACCAAAGAATTTAAAAAAAAAAGAATACATTTAACCCCTTGAGCATTAATGCTATCAGAAAAACATGTTGCCACCAAAATATTTTGATACTTTTTGGCTTTGTTGTTGCTGGGGAATAAGGGGGCTCTTGAGGACTTTAGCCAGATGCATATGGTAAAGTATTTGTGCCTGAAAAAAAACTGCTAGGAAAATTTTAATACTACCCTATGTAACACAGAAGTATCTTGATTTAGGAAAGTGTGAATCATACATTCATTTTATATAATGCTCACTCAAAATTTAAATTATAGTATTGACTATATTTTTAGGAAAATAGCTACTGTAATCAGAATTTAAAAGTCTTAATCTTAAGTAATTCCGTACAGAACAAGTTACAGTTTTATACAAATATTGTGCATAATAAAGCTAACTGATGTATTCTATGGTATTTATTCTACATGTATCTGCTTAATTGCACTAGTGCAATTTAGCCTTTTGTTCTTGTTACAATATACTGCCAGAAGTGGTAGCAATTACTGTATTTGGTTAATATAACTATGAAAATATGTTTCTCAGGAAAGAAAGCCTTCCAGACTGTATCTCTATATGAAGAAATTATATACCATTACCAGGTGAAGTTGGAAGTAATTTTTCAGTCTCTCTCACAAAATGTACACATTTGGTGATTTAGGAGTGTTGTTGTTTTGGCTATGTTGTTGTGTAGCCTGGAACTCACTCAGCAGACCAGGTTGACCTAGAACTCAGAGATCTGCCTGCCTCTGCCTCTTGAGTGCTGAGATTAAATGTGTGCACCCATATACCTGGCAACATTTTAGAGTTTGTTTTTTTTGTTTTCAGTGATGAAGTAAAATATATTCTTTGTATTTTTTTTCTTTTTTTGGTTTTTTCGAGACAGGGTTTCTCTGCGTAGCTTTGCGCCTTTCCTGGAGCTCACTTGGTAGCCCAGGCTGGCCTGGAACTCACAGAGATCCGCCTGGCTCTGCCTCCCGAGTGCTGGGATTAAAGGCATGCGCCACCACTGCCCGGCCTTCTTTGTATTTTTTAAAAGGCATAAAAAGATCATACATTGGGTCTACTATCTTTAAGAACACATGTAGCTGGTTGTTTGGTTTTTATTTTTTGCATTGTGTTTTGAGACAGGGTCTTGTTAATGTAACCCAGTCTAGCTTCAAATGCTTGAGTTTCCTGACTCATCCTCCCAAATGCTTATGTGTCTTAGTTAGGGTTCCTATTATTGTGAAGAGACACCATGACCACGGCAACTCTTATAAATGAAAACATTTAATTGGGGTGGCTCACTTACAGCTCAGAGGTTCAGTCCATTGTCATCATGGTGGGACATGATGGTGTGCAAGCAGACATGGTGCTGGAGCCGAGAGTTCTACATCTTAAAGGCAACAGGAAGTGAACTGAGTCACTCTGAGTGTAGCTTGAGCCCAGAAGACCTCAAAGCCCACCCCCACAGTGACACACTTCCTCCAACAAGGCCACACCTACTCCAACAAAGTCACACGTTCTAGTAGTGCCACTCCCTTTGGGGGCCATATTCTTTCAAACCACCACAACAGGCCTGTGATGCCATACCAAGACAGCAAAAGTCTTCAATTATTTTACACAATCTGAACAAAAAGGTCATGATAGTCCTTATTACCAAAAAGCTGGACTTAAAGGTGAGTAAAGATGACTGCTGAGGTCATAGAATCTAGTCTTCTCATTTTCCAGTAAGGAAACTAAAGATGAATCTTAGAAATGAGACTTGTTCGTGGTGACCGGATCATGAGCTTCTTTGAATTTTCTTGTGTCAGCAGCAATTGCACAATCCACCACCAAGCATCCAACAAATGTGTGCTGGATTTATACTGTGAACAAAGAATGGGAGAGATGTTGTTATTTATATGTTAGATACGCTTCTAGAACAAGGCACTGTGCAATGAACGTCCCTGCTAAATTTTGTTTGTTAAAGTCGTCACTTCAATGTGGTAGAATGAGGAGGTGTGCCCTGGAGAGGCAATTAAAGAGTCCATAAGAACCGTGTGTGTGTGTGTGTGTGTGTGTGTGTGTGTGTGTGTGTGTGTGTGTGTGTATTAGGGCCCCACAAGAAGAACTGTGCTATCTTCCACATCCACTACAGACACTTGAAAGACAGCTTTCATTCGGAACCAAATTTCCTTGCTATTTTTTTTTTCTTTTTAAATTTATTTTACTTTATGTGTTTGGAAGATTTACATGTACGTGCACCATGCTTGTGCCTGTTGGATCCCCAGGAACTGGGGTTATGGGTAATAGTGAGCCACAGTGTGGGTGCTGAGAATCTAACACAGGTCTTCTCCGAGAGCAACAAGCATTCCTAACCACTGAGCCATGTCTCCAGTGCCAAGCCTTGCTCTTGTACTTCCTACCCTCTGTGACGGTGAGAAATAATTGTCTGCTATTTAAATGACCCCGGCTGCAGTAGTTTGTTATAGCAGACTGAGCTGGCTGAGGAAGAAAATTTGTGAAAAGAAAAATTTCAAAAGGAAGCTGAAAAAATAATAAGGTGTGGAGTAAGTCGCAAGAAAAAAAAACTTAAAAAATACTTTATTATGAAATTTCTCTTCAATTCATGAAAGAAGGAAATATAATACCCCCCCCCCAGCATTCATAGGCCCATAGGAACAATTATCAACATTCTGCCGTCTCGTTCCATGTGCTTTCTTACTTAATTTTCTATTTTTATTTGCTTAATGGAATTTAGTTTTAGATTTATTTTACCTTTAATTATGTGTTTGTGTGTTGGGGGAGGTATGTGCACATGAGTGTGGATGTCCAGGAAAAACAGAAGAGAACACCAGAATTCCTGAGCTGGAGTCACAGAGATCTATAAGCCATCCAATGGGTGGTTGCCAGGAACCAAACTTGAGTTCTCTGTAAAAGCAACAAGTGTTCTTAATAGCTAAGCCATCTCTCAGGCCATGTGGAATATTTTTAAAGCAAAATCAAAGCACCATGTTATTTTACCTACAAACATTTCTATAATTATCTCTAAAAGATGAAGATTTTTTTTTAAATAATATACCCACATTAACTTTGTCATACCTCATAAAATTGGGGGGCAAATCTTTAAATATACCAATATCTAGACCCAGAGAAACGTAACTTTACATATACACAAATCAATCAAGTTTCTAAATTACAATATTTCAATAAAGCTAAGAATTCTAAAAAATAAGATAAAATAAAAGATTAAAAAGAAGAAAATCTCAAAACTAAAATTTTCTACCTCATTTTTCCTTCTGTCGCTGTGCAGATGTAAATCTTGGTGCTCAGAGTCCAGAGAATAAAAATAGGCTGTGAATCAAAACCATTAATCATGTCCTGTTATTTTTAGTTATTTGTCTCTTCCTGAGATTTTACTCAGCTTTGGTTCAATATATTTCATCATACTTTTTTCTGGGGGAAAAGTGTTTTTGATCAATTGTGGAAATTTTTAACCAAAAAAAAAAAATCAACCTAAATTTGAAACTGAGTCCCTCCCTTCAATGGGGTGATTACTTCATCCTCAAAAGTCCTATGTCAACTGTCTGTCCTAAAGCTACCTGAGGTGGGCAGACCTCTAATCCCAGCACTTGGGAGGTAGAGGAGTGAGGATTAGAAGTTCAATGTCACCCTCTGTGACACAGAAAGTTTGAGGCCAGCCTGAGTTAGATGAGATTCTGCCTGAGGGGAAAGAAAATTGTCCCAAGTTCAACTATGATTCAAGTATCTTCCATAGAGTTTATATAAAACCCTCTCAAAAAACTCAACACCTAGGAATTTAAAACTTACAAACCATAAATGGCAGGGCAACAGATCATATTGCCTTCCTTATGATAACAAAACATTGATGAAATTAGAGAACTTTAGTGTGTCAACTATTTGCCTTTGGATGGACTTAGTCAAGTATCAGTGCCTTTATTTCCATTTGATTGTTTATAAAGACCCATCTATCCTTAACAGGTGCACAATAATATGTGTTAATCAGGGAGGGTAAGGAGATAGTTCAGTGGACAAGGCACTTCCAGTGCAAACGTGAGGACCAGAGTTCAGATCCCTGGCACCCACATAAAAGCTGACTGAGTATAATGGCCACTTTTAATCCCAGAGTTCACAAATTGAAGAAAAGGAACAAGCTAACAAGATGGTTAGCTATATTTGCCAAATTAGGGTGATCTGGATTGAATTAAAAAATCCTGCTTCAATACATAAGGCAGAGAACAATTGAGAAAGATACCAAACATTAGCCACGTGCACACAATTGCATGCACACATGCCTATACACATTCATACATGCATACATATACACATTACCACATACACATATACATACAAAAAATAAATATACTTGTTGGTTAGATTTAATGTTGAAACTAAATTTTCCAACAGAACAAATTTTTTTTCAGTTATGCAAAAATGCAATCAACATTCATTAGTCCACATTCTGAAACTGAAGAAGACAAAAACATTTCTTACACATTCTTTTGATCTGTATTTGTTCATTTCCTGCTATTACAAATGTAGACATTTGTATTCAGAATTTGTTAGTCAACTTCCAGTCACTGTGACAAAGTATCTGAAAGAGAGAAAGACAAGTTTGTTTGAGAGATTTCACTCAAACTTTTGGTCTCATAGTAAGCCAACACATTATGGCCAGAGCAGATTTCAGAGATGTCTGCCTTATGGCAGCCAGGAAGAAAGAAAAAAAAGGAAACAAATACAAGAGGGAGGAGGAGCCAGTCCATAGTCTCAATGTCTCTTTCAAGTCATTGGTTTGTCTCCAATAATCCAACCCCCCTTCCACTAGGTCCCACCTCTTAAAGGTTCTGCTACCTACCAATACTACTGCCTACTGGTGACAGAGACTTAACTCCTGTGCCTCCTGTAGCCATATTAGACCCAGCCTACGGAAGGATCATGCTGCAGCTATGTTGGCATGAGTGAAGTCATCTTAATCCTGCATCACCACCATCCTTGCAAGGACACCGGAGAATTGTCTACAGGGAAGGTGAAGCCTAAGCAGTTTCTTTATAGAGAGGTACTTATCAGTGCTGGTTTATGTCAATGAAATCCTGGTTTTCTAGCTGGACAGCCCACTTGGCACACCTCTCTAAACAATTCTATTTCATCTTTTCTTGGCCAGAAACTCAGCAGCCCTAAGTAGGGTTTACACCATCACGTATGCTTCTAACCACAAACCAGAATGCCTACAAACACATTTTTGTCAACCCATGGATTTTTCTACCAGTACCATTTTACTGCTATCAACAGTAGCATGAATAAAAATACTGCTTAACCCTCTCTTTAGGTAGCATTTTGTAGAGGGGTGGGTATGAGCGAATGCATTCATGTCACTCAGAGTGACAAACTGACAAAAAAAAAAAAAAAAAAAGACCCAGCTTTCCTTAGGTCGTGTTTAGTCCTCTCCTCAGCATCTCTATGATTTTGAGCAATGTTGCCAGTATATTACTTCAAAATGGTTCATGAGACTCACATAAAGGGATTGTTTTTAAATGCCATTCTCATCAACTAAGCAACAAACAAAAACCAGAATTTCCCCAGGTCATTTTTCTGCTGGACAGCACCAAGAATATGTGAGAATAATTACCCAGGGGGGGCTTGAACAATCTCTACATACGGTAATCCTATATAAATGTTTGACAAATGAGTACATAAATGTGTCGAAACCAGAAATTAACAACTCAATAAGATCTGACCACATCCGAGGTCTGGACCAACTGGAGGCTCACTCAGCTTTGGTCTGTGTTCCCTCACTCCCATTTCCTCCTGAATAACACTTCTCTGCTCAGAAATGGTGGGTATTTTGTTTGTTTGTTTGTTTGTTTTAAAAAAAAACCCACCCTTTGCCTTATTTATTCCTTGGCTTATAAAGGAAGGATTCAGTAATCATAAGCCCTGTCCCCACAGAAATGCCCACCAGAATTCAACAGAATCCTAAAATTATTAAGTAGGAGGCCACTGGCTTAGAAGGCTACAGCACCTTGAATCAACATGGATAGTAACAAGAGTGAATGGAAATGTAAGTGTAATCACTTAGAATTCACTCACTAATGCTAACAAGGGACCTTGCCTGTTATCAACTGCAACTAACCACTTCCACTTTAACCAATCAAGTAGTTTTATTCTTTTACTTGCTCCAACAAACTTTATGAACGATTTCCTGTTGTGCCTCCTCTGTGACTCACTGAACTGCTGTGGTCAGGTGTTGCTTGGTTCATGAATCACCGAACACTCAATTCAGCTTGTTAAAAAAAAACTTAATGTGCCTATTTTTTTTAACAAATGTAAGTAAGCAAAAGTAGGTCTACCATACAGCTCATCTACCCCACTTCTCTGTGTACATCCAAATCAAATGGAATCGAAGCAAAGATCCTTGTGCTCCTGTATATCTTGAAGCACTTTCACAGATGCTGAGATATGGAGCCAATCTTGCTGCCCATCAAGGGGCAGATGGATAAAGAACATGACATAATCACACACCCGTAATGTTATTCACCCATAAAGAAGTGTGAAACCCTGTCGTATGCAGCAAAATGGTTGGAACTGATGACGGTATGGTCAGTCAAACAGACACAAAAAGGTGAATACTGCAAGTTCTCTCTCACAGGTTCAAACTAAAAAAAAAAGTTGACCTAGATGTAGAATAGTGATTGCTGAAAGTTGGGGGTGGTTGGTAACATGGATAAACCTGACATGGTGGCATATTCCTATAACTCCAGCATAGTTAGGAGGCTGAGTGGGATTCTGAGTTCAAGGTCATCCTGAGTTACACAATGAGATGCCTTTCTTAAAAGAAGAAATAAGTTGAGGAGCTGCCAGCCCCACCTGAGCCCCACAGGGAGCATCCCTGCTGCCCCACCCCACCTGAACTTTGTAGGGCTGAGGTCTCACCTGCCCAGCCTGCTCTCAACAGTCCAGATCCGGATACCACCCTGAAGGAAGCAGACAAGGACACAGCCCTCTCGGAGCTGAGGTCCCAGCCACAGTTCCCAGGAGACACCATCGCACCTCACGACAGCACAGTTTCAACAACAGTCATGACTCCCTTTCTCTGTCCTGGACCTGAGGGACTTCATTTGGAAGGATGGAGAGAACATTCCTGCCGGAAAAGGATAGTGTTCTTGGCCTTGCTCGTGGAGAAGAGCACCTCCTTCCTCAGGCAAAAAGGACTTGGCGTGGTTTTGAGTCACAGAATAACTTAATGACATCATCAGAGATAGCCACGCTGGATGCCATTTTTCAAGAGACCAAAAGGTTTCGTATGAAGATCCATTACCTAGACATAATGAGAGCAGAGTGCCCTGGATGCTGGAGGGAGTGGTCCTGAACGTGCCTGCTCAAGGGACCTGTTGCTACCCCCAGCTCCAGTCTCCCTAGCTTCACCAGCCCCACGTCCTTCCACCGAACCCCTGGACCTGGAGGAACTCAGCTTAAAAAATCACTGGACAAAAGTTACTCTCTAGGTACTCCCAAAGTACTGGAGCCCTGGGGAGCGGAGAGGAGCCCCTTGTTCTCCCAACTTACAGAGGAGGGTTGTCCAGGAGGAAGAAGATGAGGGCACAGGAAGTGGAGCCGGCAGCAGCAGGCGTGAGTACTGTGGCCTCCTGGATGGGCCAGTGACATCACAAGCCCAGGAAACAGCTGCCCAAGAGGCCCTCACTGTCCCTCTTCCCCCCCCCCGCTGGGAAAAGCCGCCCCCAGCTGTTGTGGTACTCTTCTTACTCTGCCTCTTCCTGGATTGTCCCCCGGTGATGGTGATCCATCATCTTTAGCAGTGGCCCCG